AAATAAAATTCTTACATATTCTAGTTATTAGTCCTTTTTCTGAGGAACAGCTGCCAAAAATTTTTTTCCTACACTGTGAGTTCTCTCACTCTGTAGGTGATTTCTTTTGCAGTGCAAAGTTTTCTTTTTTTTAAATACAGTTGTTCTATGTAGGGTTTCCCATGCCATCTGGGTTTTGTTTATGAAAGTCTTTACCTACATCTATGTCTTCAAGAGTTCTACCCATTTCATCTTCCAGTAGATTTAGTGTTTATGTTCTAATACCTGGATCTTTGATTGATTTTGATTTTAATTCAGTGCATGACAACAGACACTGGTCTTCCAGTGAAGGCGTTCAGCTCCTTTGTCGAAGGTAAGGTGGCTGAGTGTGTTTGAAGTTGTTTCTGCATCTTCTCATTTGTTCTGTTGATCTTCAGGTCTGTTTATTTTGTCAGTACCATGCTGCATTTATCACAGTAGCTCTGTAGTATAATTTCAAGTCAGGGATTGTGATGCCTCCTGCCATGTCCTTGTTGCCCAGAATTCTTTTTGCTCTTCTAGGTCTTTTATGGTTCCAAATGAATTTTAGAAATGTTTTCCCTAGATCTGTGAGGCATGCTAATGATATTTTGACTGGGATTGCATTAAATACGTATAACAATTTTGGAAGTATGACCATTTTCACCATGTTGGTTCTTCCTTCCCAAGAGCAAGGGATATCTTTTTACTTTCTGATATCCTCTGTGCTTTCCTTTTTCAGAGTATTGTAGTTTGCAGTGTAGAGTTGTTTTACATCCTTTGTTAGATTCCTACATATTTCATTATTTTTGGCATTACTAGGAAAGAGTGGTTAATGACAATCTGTTTCCCAACATTCACCCAAACCCTCCAGGATGGCAAGATAATCTTCTAAATACACTAGGAAATCACAGAATTTACCTTGATACTCAGGATATGTGCCTTGTCCTGAAAGTTCTTTCAGTAGAGGAAGCACTGCTTCACACATTGGTGTTTATTAGGTTGGCAAGATTAAAGTTAACTGAATGAAGATTTTGTGGTAAACACTGTGTTACATTCCTTATTTATTGTTCATTGTTATCCCTTATATGCCTGCTATAACACACAGTGTGCAGAAGATTATTTTAGAAATATTTAGCCAGGTACTTTGTGCCCAATAACTAGCAAATGGCAAGTCTTGGGTGCAAAACAAAAACGTTGTTGTTTTTTTGTGGTGCCAGCCATTGAGCCCATGACCTTGAACATGCCAGGCAAGCCCTCTATCACTGGGCTGTCCCTGACCCAAAAGAAGGTCTTCCCAAAGGCATTGCTAATAGCCAGAGTATAACAATGAAGCCAAATAAATAAACATAGCGCTGGGTGGTGTTCCATGGGATAAAACAATATCCAGGAATCTATACTGTTATAAATAATTCATAAATAAGGGAAACACGAAAGCTCTTACTTAGAGTAGAATTCCAGTAGACAAGCATACGGGGAAAAAGTCAATGTGCTCGGTACCTTCTGTAGAACTTTCAGAGGTGTTGCAAAGCCAACGAGGGACCAAGAAGGAGAAGCACATCTGTGTGTGTGTGTGTGTGTGTGTGTGTGTGTGTGTGTGTGTGTGTAGCATGCAAACCTGGGAGCTGTCTAGCAGTCATTTACTGTGTTGAGGACGGGGAAACAGAAAAGTCAAGCATGGAGAAAGGAAAGAGTGGGGAGGGCAAAGGGGAGGGAAGGGGAGAGAGCTGGAGGGAGCTGACCCCCGGAGAAGAGCAGAGGACCTCCCGATTCTCAGTGCTATTGCACACTCAGCTTGGTTCCTCAGGCCCAGTCCCATGTCCCTGCACTTGGAGGCGGTGAGATTTTTCTAGCCTTCTGACGAACTGTCCAAGGATGCGAGTTGGGTTTTGTTTCCTGTTGCTGTCTCAGCTTAAAAGAGTGACTCTGCAACAAAAGAAGAGGGCGGCTGGAGCCCGCCCAGGAGAGACTCATTCCTGGTCTGAGCTCCTGCTGATGTCCAGTGCCAAGCTGCTGATGCTGGAAATTAGGATGCTGGATCTCATGCTGCCATCGCTGATGACGCTGCCTCACCAGGGCAGAGCCTGTGGTATCACTACTGCCTCCATCCTGTTCCTTGCTAAGCATGATAAGAAAAAATAAAATCAGTGATGTCCTCCATTTAATAATGGCGGAGGAGAGGAGAGGGTAGCAATGGAAGGGAAGCTAATCAAATAAGCTGTGGGCCAAACAACAGAAACTCCACATTCCTGATCGCATGTGTAAACATTACCTTAAAAATCCCCAGGAGCAAACCACCAGCACCATTCCCCTACCCTTTCTTTTTTCCTTTTGGTCACTTTAGAGATAGAAGCCAGGGATCACACTGAGATACATTCCGGACCTCTTTCCATTGTTATTCAGAGGTGGAGTCTTGCTAAGTCACTAAATGGCTTAGGCTGGGTTTGAATTTGAGCTCCTCCTGCCCCACCTTCCAAGAGTGGTGGGGATTATAGTCAGGGGCCACCATGCCCACTAATACTTCCCCTTGACAACCATCCTATCCCAAAAGGGTCCCTGCCTCATGTCGTTTTGCCTCTTTTATCTATAGCCAATATAGCTTCAATGTAAACAACTTCCTTTGCCAAATTTTCATCATAGGAGGTTCTTGACTGCCAGGTCTCTTGGAACTATTATCTAGCCTTGCTGTTGGGAGTTGTAGGAAATGTCCAAGCAATTATCTCTTTTCTGGCTGGACTCAATAAAGCCTTTATTTCTAGATTATTCCATCTCAGGAGATTTGACTGGACAATCACAGGGAAAGTGTACTATTTTTATTCACTAATATTGTAGCCTCTTCTACCAAGGATCCTAGCATGAATTTTCAAGCTGGATGCAGAGGTATGTATCCGTTAGGGCATCTTTGGCTAAAGTGACTATCAATCTCCAACTAGAACTAGCTTTACAAACATATACCTTGAAGTGATTTGGTTTTGCCCTCACCCTTATAGTAGCTTTGCTCTCAGACTGGTGATGGGCTGGCTGTCACATAGCTGGGCATCGTATCTATGTGGCACAGACCAGAGAAAAGAATTGGTCCATCTTTGCTCCTGCCGTTTTTAGAAGTGCAGAAATTATTCTGTCTAGTTAAAGGTTAGTGTAATGGCAACAATAGAGAACCACCTAAGACATCACTGTCTTTCACATGCCTCAGAGGTTATCAGCTTTCTTTGCATGCTGGAGCCCCGGGAGAAATTTAAAAAATTATAGATGGACAGCTCACAGCTACCCCTGGTGGGCCATTGCTAGGGAGACTTTTCATTGCTGAGGTTGGCTGTAAAGCACAATCAGCACTAGGAAACACTGGTGCAAATATAATCTCAATAATCCCACAAGCTTAGTTTCTCCAGACCTGCCCAGATGTGTCCAGACATGCCTGAATCCTGGGGTGAGCACTGTCTTAGCCCTGTTACCTTAGGATAGCCGACCCTTCAAGAGGACAAAGAAGTCTGCTAAGAACATACACTGGTTTAGTACATACTATCTATATGTGCATGCATCCCCCCTCCCTCCGGAAGTGCTAAAGATACTACCAAATGTTTGTGAGGGAAGACACTGTCTTCTCTGTACCGATCCTAGGTTTGTGGTTGAAGCTTTTCTAACAAAAGCTAAATAAGAGTAATCCCAGCATTCAGGAGGCTGAGGCAGGAGAATTGTAGGAAGTTTGAGACCAGCTTGGGCTACCAAGTGAGCTCAAGGTCAGTCTGAACTGCATAGCGAAACCCTGTCTCAAAAAGACAAAAAAAAAAAAAAAAAAAAAAAAAGATGTATTTAATGTAATTTTTTTTTTGTCTTTTTCATTTTTATCGGTACTGGGGTTCAAACTCACAACCACCTGCTTGCAAGGCAGGTGCTTATGCCACTGAGCTAAATCCCCAGCCCCAACATGACACAGAGTCTTCCTGAGGAAATGAACCTGGTCCTCCCGCATCTGAGAAAGCAATAGCAGGGACATCCCTCTCATGTCCCCCTCATCCCTTCTCCCCTGAAGCAAGCCATAAATTCTAAAGGGGTTTTCTCACCTTCCATGAAGGAAGCCCTAAAACCGTCATAGGAGAGGTGCCTCCCTTAAGCTGGAGGGAAGGATCAAAGGGATAGAAACACAGACAAGCATATGAGCAGCCTGGTTAAGTCTCTTAACCAACTAGGCCAGGTTAAGTCTCTTCCAGTTTCTCACTGTGAGGTCGCACCCCTTTGACTCACATTTCAGGCCTGTCTACTCTTTATCAAAATAAACCATGAAAGCATAGTTTCCTGTTTCTTCAAGAGACTTCATTTCACTACGGAGGTTCTCAAGTCAAGTCCAGTTCCTATTCAATAAATTTGAACGCTTCTCCCTTGCTGGTCAATCTACTGTAAGAGGGGCCTCAGCACCAAGCTTAGCAGTGGGTTAGAAAAAGAGATTTTCCCTTCTCTGTATAAAGAAGAGACTTGGTGGGTGGAGGGGGATAGAGGTGCGGGCTAAGAGATGTTGACACTGCACAGAATGACCGGAGTAACACACCTGACCTCTGCCCAGTGGCGTGAAGGAGTCTAGATCTTATTGAAGGGGGGAGATCAGCAGGCTTTCAGAAGGGAGCGAGGGTTTAAATGCGGAGCTGAGTGTGCGAAGGGGACGGGAGACAGGCGCTGATGACCCGGACTCAGAATCGGTTCCTGGGACCCTAGACTGCTCTGCGTCTAGGGTCACACAGTAGAATCTCCCTAAGTCTTTCTTTAGGGCTCCCCACATCTAGAGGAGCAGCTTAACTGGCTTCTCCAGCAATCCGGTTGGCTCCTATGTCTGCAGGGAAATGCTATTAAAGAAAACAACCTGGGATGCCGGCTCCTGGCTCAGTTTCTGATTAATCATTCAGGTGGACACCTAAATCCACTCAGGTAAAAAGATACGTAAACTCGGGGTCAGGATCACAGTCCTATGTGTGACTCTCTGCTCCTGCTCTCAGAATATGTGTTGGGGGCGTGGTGGGGGAGCTTTAAAGATGGTATTTGCATTCAGCCACAGTTTCCTAGCAACCAGGAAAAGTCATCCACTCTTAGGATGTCTGCAAGCACCAGCCCCAGCCACACTGATGCACAAGCATCCGCAGAAGCTCAGGAAGAACAAAAGCCCCGCAGTTGGTAAGATTCTCGCAGGGGAATTTGTGCAGAGCTGGCATCTCATAGAGCACAGCAGAGAGCTGGGGGGTGGAGGGGTTGTGTGTACTGTGCGTGTGGTACTCCTGGGGACCACGAGAGCTGTGCCTTCCGGAGGGCTGGTTTCTGTGAGACTGCTAACGCCTGAGGTGGCCGACATCTTTCCAATACCTCTTCCACACGTATGTGTGTGAGTGTGCGTGTGCGTGTGCGTGTGCGTGTGTGTGTGTGTGTGTTTCCAGCCGGTGGTCTTGTTTTCTTTAAAGCTCTCCAGACAGAAAAAGAGAGACCGGCAAAATTAAGATCTAGCCGAACAGTCTGTGCAAATGGCTGTTTTTCACCAGGCAGAGCTGCTCAATGCATATCAATCACTGCGTCCTGCAGTTAGAAGGAACCTGGCCTGTCATTCGTCCTTGTTTTACAGAGGGAGAAACACAAAACACAGAGGGGCAAATTCACTTGTCCAAGGTGACACAGCTACCTGGCGGCCTCACAGAGACTGTGACTCCAGCCTCATGTCTTGCAGGTGAGAGAGGCTCATATTTTCATATTTAAGCATTTATGCCATTTGAATGGGGCAAAGGAGTCTATAAGGAACACAGCAACGAAGAAATGCAAACTTTATAATACTTTTTTTTGTCTTTTTCATTTTTATCAGTACCAGGGATTGAACTCATGACTCCACACTTGCAAGGCAGGCGCTTATGCTGCTGAGCTAAATCCCCAGCCCTCAAACTTTATAATTCTTAAATCTGAGAGTCAAAGTATTTGCTCAGAATGAGAAGAATGAATTAAAGAAAATGCTGTCTCCTACCTTTTGGGCTTTAAAACAGTGAGCCCCACTTCCTGCCAAGGAATTGAGGTAGGATGAATCTCCTATGAACACACAGTTCACCAGATTATTGAATGAAAAGAATCTGAATTCGTGCCAGCCTCTGTGGGGTCATATGATGGCTTTGGTGATGTTAACCAGGCTTATCAGTTTCCAGGTAAACCTGAGACTGCGGTGCCAAAAAGCCGAGAAGCCCAGGCATGGCTATGCCAGGGGTGGCGGAGGGGACTCCTCATCCTGCACCTGGCTTCCCTGGCCGAGGCTCTCCCTTCTCCCGGCCATGAGGCCACCTCTGTTGCTTGTAGCACCCTCTCCCCATGACGGTCTGGTAGGAGAAACAGGGCTGTCTTCCTAACTCGTCCTTGTCACAGGGATGTGCCCAGTTCCTGCCGCTTCACCCTCTCCACTTCCTACCTTTCCTGGAAGGTTGGAGCAGGTGCAGGAGCAGCTAGACTGATTCAAAACAGCTAAGTGAGCTGGTGGAGAATTTATTTAACCACGCGCCCCACTTTCTGATTGCTTGCTGTTGGAGAGCAGCCCCCAATAAACCCTAGAGTTCACATGCTACATGCATTCAAAGAAAGGTTTCTTTCTAATGGTATTTAGTGTAGTGATTTCAAAAGTCATGGTATAGAAAGTACAAAAGATAATATGATGAATGACCAGGAACTTATCATCTCAGAACCAAAATTGTTAACATTTTCATTATATTTGTGCACTGGTGTTCTCCAGAGTAACGCGTATGTGTGTGTGTGTGTGTGTGTGTGTGTGTGTGTGTGTGTACGCGCATGCACATAGGTGCAGTATAAACCACGGAGAGCTGCTCAGCTGCATAAACCTTTAACCATGGAGAGAAGGCTCGTAAAGAAAGAAATGAAAAAGCTGCTGTGAGTATGGCTGAGAGGTACTCTCATTTCTCATGCTCAGTGTTTGGTGGGTTGTCATAGATGGCCTGGATGCCGGCAAGGAGGGGGAAAGCTGAGGAAGTATGTGCTCTAGTGGAGAAGGCCAGGGCACGCCCGGCCTCTTTCTCCTGCCAGGGACGCCTCATACCCAGTACCTGCAGCGAGCTGAGCCTTGGGAACCATCCTGCCGGTCAGTGTAGGCAGGATGAGCACCCACAAGGGGCTGGCCCGGCTGGGAAAGAACATACGAGAGAGGCCTTGAAAAGGTGTCCCGAAGACCAGTATTCAGATGACAGCCGCTGCCTCTTACTCTTGGCATATCAACCCAGTAATTCATCTTCCTTTAGACATCCGAATTTTTAACAACATTGCTTCCTGGAAACACTTTTTCTTTTATGTAGCTTTGCTTTGACTTTGTATTTAGCAAATGCTGGTGAAAAATTATAGAGCATATAAAAAGAGAGGGAAAGGTTATATTCTATTTCATATATATTGCAAGCATAATAATAATACCCTTTTAATCAAAGGATTTATCATAGTTCCCTGCAACTGCTCCTTCTCTGTCTAGTAAGGTATTTATCTTTTACTAAGTCTTTAAGAAATGCTAAGATAGAGGCTGGGGATTTAGCTCACCAGCACAAGCACCTGCCTGGCAAGCGTGAGGTCATGAGTTTGATCTTCATACCAAAAAAAAAAAAAAAAAAGCTGAGATAAACCATGTATGAATTCATACATTAATTTGCACGTGTTTGGAGGCTACTATAACAATAACAAACCATAATCAAGAATGCCAACTTCTCTGTATATGTCAGACAAACAATCAAATTTCAAGACTGATGTACATATAATTTTATAGCCAAAAAATATTTTTAGGCTACTTGAATTCAACTTAGAATGCACAGCAAGGATTCAAGAATTTTTGTGAATAAGAAAAGATTAATGATTCAAATGAAAACTTTGAAAGGTAGGAAAAGCTTATCCTCCACATACTAAGGAGCCCAAAATGTCCTAGGGGGCTTTCATAAAATGGTGAGATTTGAAGGCCTTGGTCCCAGAGACCCTGAACCCTTCCCTGTTCAGTCCACTCAGTCCCTCTCTCCAATTTCCCCAGGGTGGGATCCTTCTGTTCTCCTCCATCTACCTCCTTTTATTAAAAGTCACTGTTAAGAAAAGGATCTGATAAGAATACACTAACACGGAACTACTAATGAGTCATCACGTATAACTTCTCCTAAGAATATGCATTCTAATGTGAAAAGGCTTAAGTTTAAATAATACACTTCTGTAGCATTTTACACATCTAGAAATCACCAGCTTTGGACATTCTGCCTGAATTTTGCATGGGTAGCAAACGAATCTTTATTTTAAACAGTTAATCACAATCCTAATCTTATAAAAGCAAAAACAAAAAAAGACCTTTTCTGAGCAGGGCATGGTGGTGCACACGTGTAATCCCAGCACTTGGGAGGCTGAGGCAGGAAGATTATTGGGAATTCGAGAACAACCTGGACTACAAAGTGAGTTCAAGGCCAGCCTGAACTGCATAGTGAGACCCTGTCTCAAAAAGACAAAAAAATGAAAAGAACTTTTTTCTCTGTGGATATTTGGAAACCTTTCTGTAAATTCTGCCCCGTGATGATTTTGATTTTCATACAAGTGTGACATAAGTTAACTATGCTTAGGGACTTTAAACCTGAAGCACTGCAGATTACAATATAAGCCACAGTTGAACAATAGCTCAGTTGTCAGGGAGGTCTTCATGGACTTCTGCTGCAGAAGGAGGGGGGGGGAGGGCAAAGCCTCTTTCTGCAGCTCTAGCCCTGTGCTACCCACAATGGTTCAATGTTGCTCTCTTGCTTTTCAGGGGAGATTACATTGGAATCAGACTCCGGGAAAATGAATTTGACCCAAAAGGAAGAAGGCAACTCACCTTTTTAGATGAGATGGTAAAGAAAGACATGCCGATGCCCCTCACATTTGTGCTCTACGTACATTCAGGGGGCAACACGAGAATAGAATTTGAAGAGTAAATCAGGGCACTATTGACACCCCAAAAATCTTCCTCACTTTTCTCATCTTAAGGTTGTGCATATGGTCACTTCAACCCACAAACAGAAAGTCGAATGAAAATGGGAAAATCAGAGTCCCATCAGGAAAAGGAATGATTAAAAAGCAAAGGCATATAAGCTAAAATGGGAGGTTTGTGATGTTAAAAACTTGCAAAATTAATGGCCATGCTGTTTTCAAATATGATCATTTCCTTACTATTTGAATTAGTGAGGGAAATCCAAGGGGTAAGTTATCCTAAAATCCTTTGTTACTCATGTTCAAGCCTAGATTTATATTAGGCTCTGATAGTTCTTCACAAAAACCACAGAAACATCTAATCCAAAATAATTTAGTAAGCCTTCAGGTTCCCTGCTGTGCATTTGTCATCCTTGCCCTAGTGCGGGGAGAAAGGCACTCTCGCTCTGCTCCCCGAAAATAGCAAGACCTGCTGAGCTTCAAGCTCGCCTTGGAGTTAGGTTTGTAGCTAAGCCTGACCCTCTGTGTGCACATTAAACAGAGACATGAGCCCGCCGAGAGCTGTGCTTCTCAAACTTTAATGAGGTCTCATTACAAGGCCGTTTTGATTCAGGACACTCTGGGGTGAGGCAGGGAACCTGCATTTCTAATGAACAAGCAAGGTCCTGCCAACTCTGCCCGCCCAGTCTCAAACTCCAGATTAGGTTTCAACAATGGAGCATGCTCCATCTTTCCCTGTATATTTATATATTTATGTAGGTTCCCATTTCAGTCTGGTTCAAGCCCACAAAGAAATAATTATATGCATTAGAGAGTGTTAGAGCTTTAGAATGCATCTGAAATAAAATCAGAATCAACCTTGTATGGGGTACGAGTTTGAGGAAGGAAGAAGGAATATATTTTGTTACATAAATATCAAGTAGGCTTATGAAACAGAAACACTTAGAAATGACCAGGCAAAGGTCATCACGGTGTAGAGATGAACATTCAACTGGCCCTCGGCCTTGAACTGCCTGTGGGACTCTGTGCTGGTTATGTAATCGGGAGTTTGCTCACGCTAGTCCCTCCACCTGGGACACCCTCCTCCACCTGCAGAAGCTTCCCTTCATCCTCCTCCCTGAAGCGGCCCCAGGTTGTCCTTCCCTTCCCAGATGGACAGGAAGGTTCCTCCAGGTTCCCTTACCACTGCCCCTGCCCCCTAGAGGTATGGTCCTGACACCACGAGCAGAATGGGACATTGTCCTCTGTGGCCCTCTTCCCTGGTGTCTCTTTATCTGTTCCCAAATTTTAAAAGTCCAAGGCCCAGAGAACACCAATCATTCACCCAAGGATATACCACAAACTGGTGGCAGTACCTAGAAGTGAGTCCCAATTCCCTGGTTCCCAGTTTACTATTCTTTCCCTGATCTGTCCTTTCCTTTCTGGATGACACAAATCACACGACTGCTCTGGCGGAAGAGGAATTTAGATCCCACACTATGTGGTTGAGCATCAGGCTATTAGACATAGCTAATGGCCCTTCCTACTGGGAAATGACAGGGTAGGACAGTCTTCCCCACGCACCATGACTGGGTCCAGGGAGCCCCTGGGATGCTGTGTGAACCCTTCTCTCTGTGTCTCTGCTTCCAGGCACACTATGACCTGGCCATAGGCGTGGCGCTGCGGTGGCTGGATCGCTCAGAAGACCTTGCTTGGCTGGAGTGGGAGGACTTGTAAGTTGAAATGTGTTTATGATTTTCCTTTTCAATGCATCCCTTTGGTTACTCGTGGAGGAAGTTCCAGCACTCCACCTAACATGCTGCACCAGGAGGCGGTCTGATTTGAAAACACGGACGGAACTAACATCCCCTTCCAACTAGAAACTGAAAGAAACCCAGCCGTCGCCAAGAAGTCACAGATGCATTTATGTAGTTGGCAGCATTTTTTTTTTTTTTTTTTTTTGGTGCCAGGAATCAAACTCACAACCTTGCACTTGTGCTGCTGAGTTAGATCCCTCACCCAGCTTTTCTGATTGGTCTGTATTAGGTGAAATGCTCCACCAGAGAAACCTGACTGTGCTATACCCTATGATGCACGCACTCTGACTTTTAAAATGGTCGATTGCAATCTTTCCCTGAGGACCACAGACATTGCGTACCTGAGTCTGAGTCATGGGTTAATTTCCTTTCCAGGATTATTGATATCCTGTCCCATGTGCAGTGCAGACACATTCTCCCCGTGGGTCAGAACATGGAACACATGAGACCGGGATCCAATAGCTCACTCCAGAGGCCAGCTGTTTATTTACTCTTTTCTGTTCCATGGTCTTGAACTACACACCCATCCTAAATGATTGTAGCAGTTAGGTGTCAGTTGTAATAAAGCAGAAAATCCAGTTCGAACAACTATGGTTAAACAAAGAAGAAAAAGAGGAGGAGGAAGAAAAAAGAGAAAGAAGGAAAGAAGTGAGAGAGAAAGAAAAAAAGAAAGAAAGTCCACCTTCCTGCCCTGTAGATGGGTCTGTGTTAGGCAAAGTTTCATTCACATTTAACCAGTGTCACCAGGATCCACCTCTAGTGTTCACGTCCTCTGGATTAATGGGAGATGGAGATAACTAGTTCAGTCCTCAGTGAGTTTTCATCCTTGGAATTTAGGGTGTTCTCAGCTTCCCTGGATGTACAGGGGCTTACAGTGGGGAAAACAGTCTCCTCTGCTCCCAAGCAAAAGCACAAGACAGGGAAAGGGTTCTGGCTAAGGAACCCATAAACACACACCACCATGGGGTCCAGGGGCTCTGTCTGATAGCTGTGAAGCCGTGGATACAGAACAAATTTATCGCTACTACTGAAGGACACAGACTCAGGAATGCATATTTCACCCATGGAGGACCAGTCACATCTTTATAAAAAAGCGGCCAGCACCCAGCCATCACATGTTCCTCGGGATTATGAAAGCAACCTTAGCAGGTGTGGAAAGGAACAATAATTGAAAGGAGAAGAGGGAGAGGGAGAGGCAGACAGGAGAGCAGAAGGAGAGGACAGGAGGGCGGATGGTGTGACCAGTGTACACCGCATCCATCCACGGAAACGTCACAGAGAAGCCCACTCACCTGTATGAGTGTGTGCTGATAATTTTTGAAAGAAGAAGAATAAATCCTCTACTCTTATCTATTCCTACTCTCCTTAGGAAACTGCCTCTTCACAGCAGACGTGTGTATCCAAACTATAGAGAACGGGAAGCAATGATTTTGTCATCTTACGCTGGAATCTTAATGGTAAGGGAAAGACTATCACATAAGTAGATAAATAAATATATAGGGGCTGGGGATTTAGCTCAGCGGCATAAGTGCCTGCCTTGCAAGCAGGCAGTTGTGAGTTCGATCCCCGGTACCGATAAAAAGGAAAAAGACAAATAAATAAATAAATAAATAGGACTATTTATATCTAACATGAGCATTTTAATATTAAGGCATAGTTATGCTAATTTTCAACCGAAGTTTCTAAATGATTAGGATTTACTCATAGTAAATGCATCATTTTTTAAAAATGTTTTATTTTTAGAGGCAAAATAAAAAGATTCTGAGTTCTATCCTCTATAGAAAATACATTAAGAGAAAAAAATGAGAGACATGACTAATTGATATCTGGAAAACTGGTTTATCTAGTTATTCACTGTGGTATGCTGATGAATGTGTGTAATCCCAAATCTTGGGAGGCTGAGGCAGAAGAATCACTGTGAGTTTGAGGCCAGCCTGGGCTACATAGCAAGTTCAAGGCCAAGCCTGTCCTACATAGCGAGACCTTATCTGGTTATTCAGAAGTTATTTATTAGTGCCTACAATACCACAAATTGTACTGTATACTAGAGTTATAACAGCTTTACTTTATAATAAAAGAAAAGCCATGATATGACAATACATTACTGTTGTTGTTTAACAGAACAGTATCCCAATTGAAGAAGTCTTTAAAATTTATGGGGCCAATTCTTCTGCCAAGTCTGGCACTACAAAGGTAAGGGTGACATGAGACTTAATATCAGGGGTTTTGAGAGAGAAATTATTTCTGTTATACATCTATACTATGTTTCCAGGTATTAGTTATGAAGCAGAACCAGACCCAGCCACATCCTCCTTGAATAATATATGTTTGTAGAATGCCTCTTAAAGTTTTTTACTTTTCTTTTTTGTGATAGTAGGTATTATACCCAGGGCCTTATCCATGCTAGGAAAGCTGCTCTGCCACTGAACTATATCCTCATCCCTTTTTATTTTATTTTTTTTAATTTTGAGACAGGGTCTCACTCAATTGCTCAGGCTGGCTTCCAAGTTTCCATCCTCCTGCTTGGTCTCCAGGGTAGCTGGGATTACAGAAGTGCTCCACCATATCTCGCTGTAAAACTGCATAGTAATAGCAAACAGGTTTTGAAAATTTTTTTACTAGTCCTTGTCTGTAGTACATAATAATTACATTTGTCCTGGGGAGTTGGTACCTGCACATGAGACATAATTTTTATTCTTTTTGTGTGTGTGTGTGTGTGTGTGTGTGCTCCATCCCTTCTGTCCAGCTCTGGTCCTTTCAACTCTTGATCCTTGTCTTGGTTACTTTTCTCTCAGTGCTGAGACAAAATACTTGATGCCCAAAAGGAGGTAAGGAAAGTTTTATTTAGCTTACAGGGTTTTTTGAGGTTTCAGTCCATACTCAGCTGGCTCCAAGGTAGGTGGCATGGCTGAGGGCAGCCATTCATGCGTGGCGAGGGGTGGGAAGCGACACAAGAGTGAAAAGGACAAAAGGGAAAGGCACACAACAGAGAAGCAAAAAGTACAAAATGAGCAAGTTTACTGAGTTGAGGATGTGAAAAGGCGCACACAACCCACGGCGGCTGGCCTGTCTCCTTTGACCAGGTAGAGAGGCAGAGGGTTCTATGACCTCTGATTGGAAGTGGTGCATGGGGCGGATATTGATGACATGTGAGGAGCTGATTGAAATTCTCTACAAACAGGAAGGGGAGTTGCAATTAGGGCTGGAGAAGAAGGAGGAAGTGGTGAGTGTTCCCACTTTGGCCTTCTGCCATGTTAGACCACCGCCATCACTGTACAGTACTTTATACTAGGGCAAGAACCTTTCAAGCTGTGCTTGTTATTGCTGTAGGATGGGATTATGTATTATGCATTTATATGTGCAAGGCAAGTCTCATGTGGAAGGATTCTAAAGCCTAGGTGCTTGGGTTTGAATTCTCAACTAACTGCACACGTTACAAGCAGAATAATCTTGGGCATATTTCCTAATCTCAGTTGCACTTGCAAAGGCAGGAAAAAGAAAGTAGAGTTGTTGTGGGATTAAAAGAATTCATATCAGTGAAACCTTAATGTTTAGCATTACAATAGCCTCAAAATAAAAGCTATAATTAAGATCCCAGCACTCAGGAGATAGGTATCTGGGTTCCCCCAGGGCAGGATTTCTTAACATTTTGAGCAGATTCTTTGTTGTGTCCAGGGGTTTGGTGTTGATGTCCTCATGTAAATGGTGAGATGTTCAGCACCAGCGTGGCTCCTGCCTATTGGATGTTAGTAGCTTTTCTCAAGCTGTGATAATGAAAAATGTGTCCAGGCTGCCGCATGTCCCCTCAGAGATAAAATCACATCTACTTAAGAACTAGAGCTCTAATTCACCCCAAAGCAAGCTCCTGCCATTGCAGCTATGATTCAATTAATTGCCTATTTTTAGGCAATTAATTGTCACAAAGGCCAAGGCTTAAGGAACCAACTGATGAAACTGAGTTTCCTTCCCTGTGAGCGCCACAGAGTCCTTCTGGACTCAAGAATACCAGCTCAGGGGCTAGGGATTTAGCTCAGTGGCATAAGTGCCTGCCTTAAAAGCAGGCAGTCGTGAGTTCAATCCCCGGTACCGATAAAAAGGAAAAAGACAAAAAAAAAAAAAAAAAAGAATGCCAGCTCAGACTCTCAGAAACTCTCTGCTACACATTAATTATACTCAGGCATCCTGTGGGTTTGGAATAAGAAATTAGCAGGACCTCTCAAGGGAAATGTAGCCTTTCAAAAATTAAATGATAAGACTATTTTAAAACAGTTTTCTGGGACTTTTTTAAAAATGATTTTGATTAGGAGACAGTTGTTTAAAAAAAAAAAAAAAGACATGTTCCCAGAAGTTTCTCCCCTGCCGCATAGATCTAAATGACCTCTGATTCCTTTGGATAAAAGACCTCCTAAGTAAAGCTAAGATCTCTCTGGAGCAGAAGCTTAAAGCCCTGCTGAATGCTAATCAGATTGTGTAGCTCTTCCAAGACCGGACCGGGCCACATTCCTCAACGCAGTTGCGCGCTCAGGCCGGCCGCCTTTCCAGGGCTGTTTGCTGCCATCTGGTGACAACAGGCACCACAGACACAATTGTCTGAACTCTGTGGTCCTTGGGCGTTTTCTGTCTACCGAAGAGTCTGGACTCTAAGAAAAAATTCAACCAAGGCACTTAAGTAAATACAGGCCATTTACAGCTCACTTCCGGTAACTATAAAATGCCCTACTCCAAGTAAGTTGGAGAAAAACCATAAATCTTCCTTTAACCAATGAAGCAAGCGATGCACAGCCTTTGGCTCTATCTGGAGACAGAGAGGTAAAAGAAAGGGAAGCAGAGAGGGAACAGGGGCAGCACACAGGGCACGTGGGAACCTGCTTTCCTTCTGTCCTCCTGAAGCCACATTCCCAGGAACCCTGGGCCTTCACAGAGTGACAGCCCCAGACTTTTCATTTGTCATTTTTGTCATTTCAAGAAAGGGCCTCACTAAATTGCTGACTCACCCAGGAAGGGCTTGAGGGTGTGATCTTCCTGCCTCAGCCTCCCAGAGTGCTGGGATTACAGGCATGTGCTCCTCGACTAGCCTGGGTCTTCTTTTCTTGGAGGATGCTGGCTGAGGCTGGAATTCAGAAATGAAAAAGTGGTTTCATGATAAGGAGAAAGTCCTAGGTTCTAAATAAAAACTCTGCATTGACAGATCTTAATAATGCGGAATAAGCACTTTCAGTATGAATTACGTCCCCTTGGGTTGAAGCTCAGCTTGTAGATCATCCACATCAACTTTGTCCAAATTAAAACCCTGTATATTTCTAGTGCAAAGACCAAGTAAGCACACTCACCAAGCACATCAAGAAAACCACTTTACAGTTTCACTGCTAAGCAATACATTATTTAATTTGCATAGTTTATATTATTTAATTTTGCACATTTTTAAATTTTATATAAATAGAATAGTAGAAAATGTATCATCCTAGGGCCTTGCTTTTTCATTCAACATGTTTCAGAAATTTATCCACATATGCAGAGCCACAGTTTATTCTGCCTTAGGAATACATCATGATGTATTTATGGATTCTTCTGTTTTAGAAATTTGGGTTACTTTTTTTCTATGTCTCCACTGCACAACAATACTCCATATAAAGCCAAATTATTTTTTAAAATAACAGTTCTCATTCCATAAACAGTGTAAATTATCTACACTGATATTTCAGACTTTTAAAGTTTTGTCAAACTGTATTATGGCATCTTATCGTGGTTTTGACTTCTCCTGATTACCAATGGACAATTATTGCTAGATTTTTTCTTCTGGAAAGTGCCTGATAAAGTCTTTTGTCCATCTTTCTGTTGAGTTATTTGTCTCTTTTTCTCTAGTAATGTGGAGTCTTGATTTTTGGAGACACTACTATAGGACAGAATCTGTCAAGTCTTGGATTTTCCAATACTTTTCCCACTTGAAATTTGCTCTTTTTCATGCATATTAAAATGTTTAGAAAATATAGTTGCAGCATCCCAGCCACATTTGCAAAACTTAGTCATAGACAGTGCAAAGAATCCATTTTTCCACACTACATGACCTGCTATTATTTTGCCCAGTCTGCTTTCTGTAAATACATATTCAATTGCTTTGACGCTTAGGATCTGAAATTTCCCCTTCTGTCTCGGTGACATCACAATAACGTTTTAGTAAGTTACTGCTCTAGGTTGACAGAGGTGATGATTTTTACCTCCGGGTGGTGTAACCCCTACCCAAGGGAAAGTTTCCCATATGCTTGTATATATCTTCCCATTCCCACCTCCTTCGAGCTAGAAGCAATTTTTACTAATATGCTTTGGCATTAGTAAGCACAGGAACTGAAAAATAATCACAATAATTCTTTCACACTGAGACAATGAAGGGATTAGTCAATAGCTTTGGAATTAGAAAGGAAATATGATTGGGATTTAAATATCATCCTAGTTTAAAAAACATTTTTTTTTTTTTTTTGTAGAAAACATAGAGGAAGCTAAATGAACAGCTCGCATGAGTCATCAGATTATCAGGACTCAGGAAGGTTCACAGAATAATCAAGTTGGAAGAGACCTTTAAAATCCATAGTTTCCTCCTTTCCCAGTGGACAGGGAAAGTAGACCATAAAACACAGACCTTTATCAAGAATGACATTTAGGCCAATATCCTTTCCCTTCATCTGGCACACTTTATCCTGAAGGGCTGTTATCGCAGCCACAGTGCACCTAGACTGAATCAAAGTCTCCTTGTTCATTACACTCTGTGCTGGAGCAGGACCATTTTGCTGAAAATACTGTGTGCCTCTTGGGCTAGAGGTCATAGTTTGTGCTTACAGTTCACTGTTTACCACACTACACATGAAGGAAGTTCTCTCAATAAATATTTCTGCCATTTGAATAAAAAGAGGAGGTGAAATTTGGTAGCACTGCTGGTAAAATGTCTATAAACTGTTTTGTCAGCAAAAGGGCCCCACACCTCCACTGGCTGTTTAATTCAGGTTCCCTGTATGATATCTCAGAAAACCCAGGGTCATAGTGAAATGCTGCACAGACATTACCTCCCTGTGAAGGCAGGCCGACTGGGGCTGCTGCCACCTGCTGGTTCACCAGGAGAGAAAAAAGGTACTTGCTGTCACAATTCTTATTTAAGACTATCAAAGGGGCTGGGGATTTAGCTCAGCGGCATAAGTGCCTGCCTTTCAAGCACATGGTCGTGGTGAGTTCGATCCCTGGTACCAATTTTTAAAAAAAGACTACATCAAAGAGCTTAGCTGGTGTGGAAAATACAAGAAAACAAATATATTAGTGTAGAAATAAGAAAAATTATCATTTCTTAGATATGACATAATGACTACTTTAAAATCCAAAAGAATCTATAATTTATTATATTAAAAAGTGAATTTAGACAAGTTGCTAGACATAAGGGGAATGTGAAAATTAATTTATTCGTACATACCAGGAACAAAGAGAAAATGAAGTATAGAGATATACCATTGATCACAAGTCAAAAATACACTTACAAATACTTTTAACAAAGCAGAAGACCTCAGTGAATGAAGAGACACAACATGTTCACGGAGTAGGACACCAGTTGTTGCTGAAATCTCAATTTTCCCTAAAGTAATCTGGAGACTCAAGTCAACCCCAGCCAACATTTCAGAGACTTTCTCTCTTTCCTTCCGCCCTCCATCCCCACCCTTTCTTTCTTATTTTGGACACTGACAAGCTGATGATAAAATTCGCTAGGAAATGCAGAGCTGAGAACAGCCAAAGCAGTCTAGAACAGGAAAGGAAGGGAGAGCCCAAAGAGCTGGGAGGTGAGGGGTGGGGCAGATGGGCTGGGCAAGAGGCGGAAAGTGCCAAAGGTCATAAAAACCCGGAGGAAAGGGGAACCACTCCTTCCTTTGAATCTAGTGCTGCTTACAGGACCAACCAGGAAAGTACTATTTCAATTCCTCATTTAGGTCTGATGGGAAACCAAGCAAGTTTCCCAGAGGATAGTTTAAATCTGACAGTGGGCAAGGTGAGTTTTGCTAGGGTGATTGTCCCAGTCCCTTATCTGCATGAGGGAGAAGCCAGTCCAGAAATTTTGGATACCAAAGGCTCTTCTCCATTATCATGCAGGCTGCTGTGAGTCTGACCAGTCTCCCGCTCTTGCCCTGGAGAGGTATTTTTTCCACCTACAATAAATTATACCATCACTGCTTTTACTACCTTGTCCAACTCTTTGCTCAGGATGCCACGAACCTGGAAAGAATCCCCCAGAACCTAGCACCGGATAACACTGAGGCATGTGCTATCTGATTTGGAAATCTACTATAAAGCTATACACAGCACAGGATGGACCTACCAAATGACCATGCAACCCTAAAGAGTCTGGGACAGATATGCACTGCTTGGTTCACCTGATTTATAGCAGTTAGAAGAAATTATAGAAGAATACATTTGTTACCCTGGTATAGACAAACATTTTTTAAATAAGATACAGAAAGCCCCAACCAGAAAAGCAAAAGTTGATAAACTGAGCTATACTGAAATTCAAATTTTCTGTAAGCAAAAGACCATTATTATAGTGAATTCACAACCCACAAAGAGGTGGGAAATAATCAGAATACAAACATCTGCCAAAGGACTTCTATTCATAATACGTAAAGAATTCCTGAAAAATCAGCAAGAAAAAGCAAAAATTTCAAGTTAAAATAACAAAAAAATTTGAACAAAATATCTGCATGAAATTGTACAGAAAAGATGAAATACAAGTGGTCAATAAATATGAACAAGTTCACACCTCCAGTAGTCAGCACAGAAATTAAAATCAAATGGCATGCTTGCATTCACAGATGAGTGAATCAGCCAGCCAGCCAGCATTGGGTGGCAGAACCAGGAGGGAGGAGATGGGGTGGAAGTCAGAGCAAGTTTCTCATGGAAGGGGGTTGCTATGCCTTGTGTCTAGATGTCCCAAAGTCTGATGTGGTCGTAGGTGGAGTTTTTCAGAGGTGGCTGGATCTTGAGTCTGTGGCGCTGGGATCAAAGATGTGTGATTACTAAATGAGTCCTCTGGTTGGTTTGGCATAGTTCTGGGAGTGGATAATGTGAAGAGCTTCCGTGAGTGTGAGAGCAACCTGCCCTAAGGATGTGTAGCAACCTGCCCTAAGGATGTGGACAAAATATAAGAGACAGAGAGAGAGCTGTTGCTTGTCCCGTGCTGCTTGCTGTTTTGCTGTCTTCTGCCCACCATGAACTGTTTCTCCTCTGCAGAGCCCCTGGGCCATGCCACCCTGCCATGGAGCCAGCCAACTACAGATTGAAACCTCTACAAACTGAGCAGAAATAAGCCTTTCCTCCTTTTACTTTGGGTGTTGGTATTTTGTTTCTGCAATGAGAAACATAACTAAGACAGGGGTAGGCTGGGGATACAGCTCAGCAGCACAGTGCCTGCCTGGAAAGCACTCAGTCCTGAGTTCAATTCCTGAAAAAAAAAATTGAAAACCCAAACATTTAAGGCAGAAATATTAGTGCTGCATGTCTCGGCAGGAAAGGAGGAAGTGGCTCTTCCCAGATGCAAGAACCATGAAGAGGATGAGGGTATGAGAGGGCATCTAAGCAAAGGGAAATCCTGTGCATCTCATGAACCGTGGTCATTAATGTCAAGGAGTCTGGGCTGGGTAAACAAGCCAAGTGTTAACGAGCAGTGCAAATCTCACCAAGCGGTACAGCTCTGAAAAGTCGGCCACCTGTCTTCCAGGTCCCTCGTGCTCCACTGCCCCGGCTGTCTATGCACCCTTTGGCCATGCTAACTGCGCCCAAAGCAGCAGAATATGCCCGCAAGCAGAGTAAGCTTGTTTACTTCCATCTGCCTACAGAAATGTAAGCAAAATTACATTAGTTCGTAATGTAATGGTAATGAGATTAATGAAATGAAAACAAACTAGGAGCTTTTATGACCTGATTTCCCACCACCCCTTATTACTTACCCAAATCACAAAGCCTTATTTCCCAGATCCTTTGGTAACGGGAGCAAAGCAGTCCAGAAGGGAAAGCTCTGAAACTGTGGGAGGACACATTTTTTTAAACTCCTCTATTCAAATGCGGTTCCTGCATGTGTCTGTAGGTGTCATGCTCAGAAGGGGAGCAGCAAATAAAAAAGCCAGGAGCAGTTCTACAAAGGAAGCCAATGCGACGGAAGCGAAATCATCAAAAAGACTTTCATGTGCCCTGCTGAAGAACAAAGTAGGTCTGAAAACATAAAGTAGACCAAACAGGTACCAGGATGTCTTGAAAGAACTACTTATCTTGTGATTATCAGTCAAGCCTCCAGGCCTGGCATGGTGGTGCACACCTGTAATCCCAGCACTTGGGAGGCTGAGGTAGTGGGAGCACTGCAAATCTGAGGCCAGGCTGGGTATGTAATGAGCTCAAGGCAAGCCTGCTCTACAAAGCAAGACCGTGCCTGAACAAAACAAAACAAACTCACAAAATTGGAAGAGTGACGATACCTCCGATTGTTGACTTGATTCACTGAGATAGAGGTTAAGTGTTTAGAGCAGTGGTGAGGGCCATGTAAACCCTAAATAAGTATTAGCTATGATTATCTTTTCAGCCTTTGGAAAAGTACTAGTCTATAAGTTAATTGGTTGTTACTCTTTGATTGAAGTAAATATACTGAGGAGATTTATATCAATATCCATATCCCAGACGTTCCTATTCTTGGTCCCTCTCTTATAGTGAGAATTTTTTATCATTTCCTGCCTGGCATCTCCCCTGAGCCTGACTAATACTCCTGATTCCCAAGTCTTACTTACACTGTAGGATTCAGATAGATGTACAGGGTGTAGAGATGTACAGGAAATGGAAAGGAAGGAGTTTGTTCCTCTTCCGGGTTTAGGTTCTAGATCTTCATGCATAAAGTGAAAAAAAAAAATGTAACAGGAAGTTGAGAAGACCCAAGTTCATCAACATTATAAAAGCCGAGAGGAAAGCAAATCAGAGAAAGGGTCCCAGCTGGGTGTCTGGGACTGTTCAGAGCTACAATGAAGGAGAGACTTCCTATAGGCTGGGGTGTTGCAAAATAGGAGTGGGGAAGGGAATTTTGAGAAGTGTCCTCTGAGTTGTGAATTGGGTTCATTTGCTGTGCTGTGCATCTTTTAAATGTGAACTGGAATCTAAAAGACCCATTCTGGGCTCAGGACTTCTTTGGGTTCCAGAAGTTAACTATCGATGGGCTAGAAATATAACTTTATCCTACAGCAGGAGCTGCCTTAGGAGCTGCCTAAATTCTTAGGTTATATCAGGGCTTTCATATACAACACTCTAAAAACAGAATAAGCACACTGTGGAGAAACCATAACCAGACTGAGCTTTCTTTTAAAGGTATTTGCCAGGAAGTTTAAGAGTTTAGAGTTTACAGGACCGTATTTTTTGTTTTTGAAGAACTTCTAAGTATGAGGTCATTTTTATGTGTGTTTGGAGACACCAGGCTTTAGAAAGCAAAACAGAACAAGTAAGAGCTCCAGAAATGCGTGTGCACATCCGCAAACACACAACCTGGTCATCTAGGCCAAAGCTAAATGTCCAAAAACACATACCTGAAATAGGAAGTCACAGACCTCTGTAATGAGAACCTAGCTTTAAAGACTGCTCATATGAATGCTACTTTGAAGATATAACTTTATTCCGATATGTTTTCTTCCACAACTATTGATGATTGCAGATTTTTGTTTCCCTCTCACTTCCCACATGTGTATGAAGTGCTTTGCAGGTGATGGAGATTTAGTAACTACCACCAGTTAGGCAAATCGGCAGTAAGGGAATGGTGGTTAGACAGCTGCTGCGCTGTGCGTACTGAGGGAGGGGCTGGGTTCTGCGGCCAGGTGGTGTTCCGGCCTCAAAAGAGCAATGCCCCATTTGCAGCCATCTCTGGTTCTGAGATGAATCCTTCTGTAAAGTCCTCTTCTTTGTAATCACACAAGAAAAAATCCATTTGTGTTTTTCCTTTCATACTTCATGAGTTGTGTAACTTAGCAATTTTTTTCTAGCTCCTGAATAATGTATCTTTTAAACCAGTTAAAAAGTATGATAGTAACACAGACTTACAAACATTTCAAAGCACACAGCAAATGTACAGTGAAAAGTAAAATAATCATCTTCTGGCCACATTCCATTTCCATGGATCATAAATAACTACTGTTAGTGAATATGTCTTGTGATAGTAAAATATCTATAATACATATAAATATACTTATATGTGTGTCTTACCTGTCTGTTAGGCTCCTTTTATATTACAGAAATAAGTATTTTATGAAGGAGATACAAAATATGCTTTTGTAGTTTGTTGCTTGAGCACGCTTTTCATTTTATGTATTTGGGATTCTTAGAATTTCCTTTATGGCCTATGGATAGTATGTCTGTTTTTTTTTTTTAGCTAAAAACCAATTATTTAAACCTCAAGATGAAACAATGCCTCATTCACAGTTTTCTATTCATTTTAGCCACTGAATTTCTTCATATACTAAGAAAAGGGGGAAACTATGGTTTAAAAATCCAAATATTCTGGGAAAGAGTTTTAAAGTTTTTTTTTTTATTGTATTAGTCTTAATGGCCCATTTGTTGGTCAAAATGGTGTATTATCACTTCCTAGGATAGTGTTAGTAGTGTGAACATCACCAAGAAATGAATTCAAAATGGACAGGACCATACCAAAGGGTTCAATGACAACACTCTTGAATGCTGGCTCCTTACGTAACAGCTTAGGTGAATTGCTTAGTCCTAGTATGCTTTAGTTTCTTCTCTATAAAAGAAGCTACTTCATAGGTTGTTCTGAGGACTCCCTGAGTAGTATGGAAGGCCTGAGAGAAGAGACATAGCAAGATTACCCCCTCTATTACCACTCCTGAAGAACTCACAACGTTATGAGAAGCAACCGGACAGAGAGAGGCAATATATGTTTAACTTCAAAGCAATATATGCAAACTTCAAAGTAACATACTATAAGCACAGTACTTAGCTCCTAAGGAGCTTTAAAAAGACTTACTTTGGATAAGGTTAGTCAAAAGAAGTATAATGTTTGTTATTACTTCCGTGTTTGAAAATAGTTTCACACGTATAGAAAAACTGCAAACTTAAAAATTGCAAGAATAGCACAAAAAAGTTCATATATCGGAATTCATCAGCTGCTAGTGCTCTGTCCCACGAGCTTTTCTGTTTTCTCTCTCTCTGAGTGTGTATAGATGTGGACATATAATTTTTTTGAACCATCAGAAAATTTACAGACCCTTTCATTTTACCCTGTATACTTCAGTCGATATTTTCTAAGGACAAAAAGTCATTCATTAAATAACCACAATAGGGTTATCAATTTCAGAACATCTAACAGGGATATTTTTATTATTTTTATCTGACTGATCAACTACACAACAATTTTGTCAATTGACTCAAAATACCCTTTTTAAGCATTTTTCCCTTCTATACAGGATCCAGCATGATGTCACATATTATAATTAGTTGAGAAAAATAATTCAGTTTCCAAATCTTTCAGAACAGTCCCATGGAAATTGTTTTATACCCACATTGGTATAAGCCATCTTTGTCAGGTAGTATTTGATATTTGAGTGTAACTTCTTGTAGATTTAAAGCCCATGTTTGTGCCATGTTACCTTTTATACTAAAATCATCCTTTCATTCTGCAGGTCACTTAGAAACTTGTACCATGGAACTTCATAATGGAACCTCTGGGACCAGACAAAAACCATCATCGTAAAACTATAACTTTTACCAGTACCTTTTTCTTTACAGTTAGCTTTTGGTGCAAATGGCATTGAATGTCATTTTCAATGTTGAGTTTTCTTCTATTAGAAGCATTTGCAGAGTATGTTTTGGTGAAAGAAAAAAATGTGTGTGTCTTCTGCTACTTGGTGGTGATCAGAAGACTGATAGATAATTCAGCCTACAATACTTTTGTGTCAGAGCAAGCAGGCTGGCTTTGTGGCAGATTCTCTAGTAGGCTTTGTGGCGCATTCTCTAAATGTGTAGCATTCTGTATTCCACAGTGGTAGGGTAGTGAACAGTTTTCCCAAACTATAAACCAAAATAAAACTAATTGGTCATTGATTGCCTTCTATGATCTCAAATGGAAAGTACTTAAATCATTTCAAAAAAGCATTAAAATAAAAATAGCTGCAAACTTTCTCTGTAGAATGTCACATTTAGGAAAAGAACATTTTCTATGTTTTCGGTGGCTTTTCAAATGCTGACAAGGCACTTGGCTTAGCCAGCATTGTTTGTAATAACGACTTGACCAAATGAATGTCAGGAGGGCTCATGCCCTGCTTCGGGCCTGCCATCTTTCTGCAGAGCACTTTCAGTAGTATATGCAAAAATGCAATGGTTTATTGACCTCTGCTGAACATGGTGATGGAGGGCAGTGGCTGGGGAGACTGGGGCAGTCTTTTCCACACAGACATCCAAGATTTACCAGGAGACTGGCAGCCTTAAGAAAGAGAAAAGAGAGACTGATGACCTGTGGTCCCTGCCAGAGGTACAGCAGCCTAGGGTTTCTCCAGTTTGCTTTTTGTCTAGCTCTGTTATTATGAGAGAATAGTTCTTCTTGGTGTCTCTCCGTTTACCATCTGTACATTTACTTTAAGTGCTGCCTGAGGATTTTCACAAATAGCACTGGGAATGTGTTGTTGCCATAGTGGGGTATCGTTTCAGAGCCCCTTTATGGGTCTGAGGCATAAAGGTTTTTTACTTCCTCTTCCTACATACATAAGGGATGGGATGACCAAATAATTCTGAGCTTTGTATGGTCCTCCATCCCTGCACATCTAAGGAATGCTTCTAAATCCATAGTTTAGCAGCAGTAGAGAAGCTCTTCAGACAGACACTTGGCTCAATGGCAGGGCAACACCTGGGCGAGGGAAAACACAGGCAAATTGTAACACTAATTTTAAAAACAAAAAGCAACTCTTGAAGAAGGGTGGTGCCTGGAGGAAAACAAGAATCCTGTGTATTTTCCTGCCCTTTGAGTGTCTCAGATTCTTGTAGATCTCTTTATTTTTAGCTCATGGAGTAGTTTAATCTCAAGACAAAGTATTTAATTCCAAACATGCTTTTTACAATTAGCACTAAGTCCTACATTTCACTTTACTATTTTTCTTTTTCTTTCTTTCTTTGGGCAAACATGGGTAAATTTAACAACTGTAAATAAATAAATAGATAACTAAATGGTAAATAAATAGATAACTAAATAAATAGATAACTAAATGAACTCTCATGCAATTTACAATAAAACATATAATACTTAGCAACAACACTATTGAAGGCAGCAATGTATTCTTTTTTTAGATTTTACCTGTTGTAGTTCACTAAACGGTTTCCAAAACTTCTATGCGTTGTGCTTTTCATATCAAAAATTTTTATATCAAATTTTTATTAAAGAGCTTTGTTATTTTTAAATGAATTTTTCTTATATTTTTCCCCAGGACAAATGAAGTTTCATTTTCTATCTATAATTAGAAGCAACATTTACAATGGGACTGTAAAATTTACTTAAAGAGCATGCATTTGTGGTTTCAGAAAACATTTACTAAATCTTTAAAGAAAGAAGTAACAGCAGTGTAAGCGGAAGTGATGATTTAATGACTGTAAGCAAGACAAAGAAGAGAATTGTGCTTCCTTTGCAGACTGAGAGCAGTGAACTGCTTAGCTACAGTTCCCCACACAAACATGAAACAATATTCACAGAGAATAAACACTCTTACAAATAATTAATTTTACAATTTTTCACCACGTCAGAGCTGGAACATAATAGAAAGGTTAGCAAATAACAGCAAAACTAAGACATGAAAACCCGAGTTAGTACCTTCACCTCACCATTCATGTATAACCATGATTGACATTTTAGTGTTTGCACAGAAATGATCGTTTTATCTTTAACATGAGCAAGTTTTTAAAAATCAAAGTCATACTATCCTGACTTCGAAATGCAGTCTCTTTCCAGTGGAAGATTTTTCGATTGAGGTTTTTGTACCTCAAGTCCTTCTGAAACTCAGACGATTCTCACGAGCTGCCTCGGATGCAGCCCCAGCCTCCATCTCAGCAGTTTCTATAGGCAAACGCTGCAAACTGCTGGGCGTGTAATGCATTTCTAGAGAGCTGCATAGGATGAGAAGTGCGGCCTTTGTCTCCAAGGTCATAATGGCTCTGCTGACTTGAATTCCTTTCACTGGAACTAGTGAGGACAACTCGAAAATGCCAGAGAGAATGAGAGCCCCCTGCCCCATGATCCCAAATGAAAAAAAGAGAGAACACAGAAATCCCCTTACGCATTGCCCCCAGCAGTCTTTTGTGCTGTTCTTGCCAACACAGCAGCCGCCCTGCTATATATATCAGCTGCCACTCCCGTCCCGTCACACTGGACGCTGATCATTCGCTGTCAACAGCCATGGGGAAGGTGAGTCCGCGGAGATGCCACACCTTGGCCAGCAACAGGCCTCTGAGGGGAGGGGGTGTACCTTCCAGATGAGCATCTCTGTCACCTCCTTTTCCACTGCAGATCACTTTCTACGAGGACCGGGGCTTCCAGGGCCGCTGCTACGAGAGCACCACCGACTGCCCCAACCTGCAGACCTACTTCAGCCGCTGCAACTCCATCCGTGTGGACAGCGGCTGCTGGATGCTCTATGAGCGCCCCAACTACCAGGGCTACCAGTACTTCCTGCGGCGCGGCGACTACTCTGACTACCAGCAGTGGATGGGCCTCAACGACTCGGTCCGCTCCTGCAGGGCCATTCCTTACGTGAGTCTGGCTTCCAGACACCCATCAGTGGTCGTCAGAGCTTATTCACAAGTTTTCCCAGCTAATGTTCTCAGCCAGGACAGGCGCATGGTGCAGACAGCAAAGCCTGACCCTCACACATTTAAAAAAACATATGAAGGGGACAGGAGTGGCAGTGCTATCTTGCTTATGCTCACCAATGTTGTGTTAGGGGGCAAGAAATCATGACACTATAACCTTCAAACTTCAACCTGGCGGATAGCTGTAGGTCCTTCAGCCATAAGAACACCCGGTCCTGTGCAGTGAGGTGGGGACTCTAGAGGGCACTAGGTTATGTGAAATAAGCCAGACTCAGACAGAGAAATACTCTATACGCTCATGCACATAGGATCTGAAACTGTTGATCTTAGAGGAGCCGAGAGTACATCAGCACCTAGGAGAGGCTGGGGTGGTTGGGAAAAGGAGGCTGGTTCAGGCAGATGTTGTTCAAAGGTGTACAGCCATAATTAGGTAGAGCAAGTCCAGAGACCTGTTGGCAGGTACAATGTCCACAGTTAATGATTCTAAATTATATCCTTTACTAACGCTAAGTTGCTCTTAGCATTAGCATGATGTTAAGTGCTCTTATCACAGAAATAAGTATATAAGGTGACACAGATTTAGATGTCCTACCATGCATACACTTCTATATGTATATCCTGTATATACAATCAGTACACTTTGTAATTAAGAACATGTATATACTCACAAATTTATCTGTCAATTTTTTAAAAGATAAATACATTTGAAAATTAAATAAATCTATTAACTTGATAGGATGTAGGCAATTTATAGTTTCTAAATCAAATCTATCTTGTTCAGTAGAGAAAGAAGTACTTATAATCTTTAATGATAAAAAAATAACAGGGCTGTGTAGGTAGAATACACTTCAACTGCACTGATGTTTTTTATTTCACTTGATAACATACTGATGTAGAACCTAGAGCAGTGTGTTTCAGCTTGTGTATCTTCTATTTTCCAAGAGTTTCTTACATAGGGCAGAGGCAGGGAATTGATTAGGCTCTCATGGGATGTGGTCTCTGTCAAAAGACTACATGTTTTTCAGTCACATGAAGAGCATGTTTGTGCTTTCTGGAGGCACCAAGTTAGGTGCTAGGGCAGGAAAATTAAGACCGGAAATCAGATTTAGGCTAGAAAAATGTACAGACTCACAGAGACATAAATCAAACAGACATTTCTTTGGGGACTAGAAAATCAGTTGGTTCAAAGATTCGCCAAAAAATCATTTGGAAAGATAAGTGGGCTCAGCACATCTGAATCACTGAGCACCTTAAATGCAAAAAAGTGACTTTCACACAAGCTGCATCAGGGTCAGTGCCAAAGCGTCCCCGTGGAAATGGGAGTTAAAACCTTCTCCACAACTCAGTAGACACAGTTGTGACAGATGGCTGCTTACAAAGGAAACACGTTTATTCCCTCTGTTCCCAAAGTTAGTTTCCTCCACAAAGTCCTCAGTTCACTGGTCATGTCAGCTTTGTTTCAATATTCTTCCTTCTTTGCTAGAATAACAACATCAGCAGTGAGATTAGAAACACATTTGCAGCAGGCTCTGAAACCGTGCTTCACGGTGATGCGGGCTGGCAGTCGCTTTCGTGGACACAGAAGGCGCACATCACTTACTTTTCTCCTTTTCTGATTATCGCTGCAGACCAGCTCTCACAGGATAAGGCTGTACGAGAGGGATGACTACAGAGGCCTCATGTCAGAGCTCACCGAAGACTGCGCCTGCATCCACGATCGTTTCCGTCTCAGCGAGATCTACTCGCTGCACGTGCTGGAGGGCTGCTGGGTGCTCTACGAGCTGCCCAACTACAGGGGCCGCCAGTACCTGCTGCGGCCAGGGGACTACAGGCGGTTCCACGACTGGGGCGCCATGGACGCCAAGGTCGGCTCTCTCAGACGGGTCATCGATGCCTACTAAGCTGTGCCTTGCTTGTGATGATTGGTCCACATGGAGATGCTATAAAATAAAGATTGTGTTGCTGGCACTGAGTGGCTCGTGCTCATCTTTAACTGAATTCTAATATAAAGTGGGGGTTCTGGACCACTTGCCTGTCCCTAAAAGCTATCCTGAATGTCTACTTCCCTGTCAGACAGCAATATGCATGGAATATCTACACCTCTAGGGAAAAAGAAGGTAGATCCGTACTGCCTGCCAGGACCTACACAGTCTGAAAGAGAGAGGAAAGGCAGACACCCTGAACAACTATTAGAATTCATAGAAAATATGGAATCCACTCTAGCTGGGACCCCAAAAGATAAGGACTTGCTTGAGGACTAGGAGAGCCAATGTCTCAGACAAGATTAATGAAGAAAAGGTCCATGACAAGAGGGTTTTAGGTAGAATTTTGTAAAGCAGAGAAAGTTGAGCCTGCTTGATTGGATCATTCTCAGGAGGCAAAATGCTACATCATGGTTAAACAGCCTGATTCTTACTTTGCCTGTCTGTGCCTCACTGGTAAAGAGACCGACCCAGGTCAGTTTTCCTGGGACTTTTCCAGTTTTAGCACTAAAAGTCTTTCATTCCAGAAACCCTTGCAATTTCACAGCAACCGAGACAATTTGTAAGCTTATTTTTTAGTTTGTTTCTCTGACCAAGTACATCTTATCTTCTGTATGTCTGTTGCATTATTGAAAACTACAAGTGATAATAAATTCCTTGCTCACTAAACCCCAGGATGCTTATGATGAAAAGATGAGAGAAGATTGGGAACAAACTTTGCTACCTGTAAACTATTATATAAATGACCATGTGAGAAATTAATACACTTCCTGTATTCTCTCAAATTCAACCTCACAATCAATATAGTCATCTTTATTTTAGATTCCAATATGAATTTTTATTGCCTCAATAATGAAGTGTGAGCCATTAGTGTTTATTGCATGTCTCTAGGATTTCTGTTCTAGTAGATTTATTCTCCTAGAATATTAGCTCTTTTTCCAAATTTATATGATCAAATATAATGCCCTGACCACATTGACTTCTTGGAGAAGTTGATAAGCTGATTCTAAAAGTCATATGGAAACACAAGAGACCAAGAACAGCCAAAAAATCTTGAGAAAAAAACAAGAGTAGGAGAATTCACTTTGCCAGTTTCAAAATTTACCATAAAACAATCATCAAAATAGTGTGGTGCTGGCGTAAGTACACTGGAATGGAATTTATGGTAGAGCAGAAACCTATATGAACCTAGATTCAACCAAGTTTTGGCCAAGACATCAAGACCATTCATAGGTAAAGAACATTCTTTTCCACAACTGGTTACTGAGACAACTGATTATCCACATGCAAACAATGAAGTTAAAACCCCCAATTCACATCATATATAAAAGTAATGCAAAATAGAGTAAAAATTGAAACATCAGAACTCAAATTATAAAATTCTCTGACAGAAAAAGATATGATTATCTCTTATCAAGTAATGATTTCTTAAGTTTGATACAAAAGCATAAGCAACAAAAGAGAAAAAATAAATTGGACTTTATCAAAATTAAAAACTTTTATGCACTAAAAGATGCTATCAAGAAAGTGAAAAGACATCATGCAATGGAACAAAATATTTACAAATTATGTATCTGATCAGGTTTTAGGATCTAGACTATATAGAGAACTTTTACAACTCAATAACAAAAATGATCCAACTGAAAATTTGCCCAAGAATTTGAATATACTTTTTTCCAAAGGAGATACACATTTGCTGACACAAGTCAGCAGATAAATTAAAAGATGCTCCATATCATTAGTCATTAGGAAAATTTATATCAAAACCACAATGAGAGACCATTAAATGTCCACTAGGGTGGTCATGATATTTTAAACCCCCAAACAAAACACCAGTGTTCATGAGAATTTGGAAAAATTGGAGCCCTCACAAGTCTTTGGTGGGAATGTAAAATAGTAGTCTCTGTGGAAAATAATTTGGTGTTTCCCTGAAAAGTTAACCATAGAATTATCTACGACTCAGCAATTCCACTTATAGATATGCAATCAAAGAAATGAAAAAAGATCTTCAAACAAAATTTAACACATAAATCTTCACAGCAGCACTATTTACAGTAGCCAAAATGATGGAAACAACCCAAATACCCAAATGTCAATAGATCATTACATAAGCAAAATGTGGCATATCCATACAATAAGATATTCTTTGATTATAAAAAGAAATGAGACACTGATACTTGCTACAACATGGTGAGCCTTGAAAACCTTATGCTAAATTAAAGACACCAGTTACATTAGACTATATATTATATGCTTCTATTTACATGAAACAGTAAGGATAGGCAAAGTTGCAGAGATATTACATAAACTATCGGTTGCTTAGGGACAGGAGAAGGTAGGGATAAGGGAGCGATTTCTCACTGTGGAAGTAAGTGTATTCTATATTGTGGTGATGGTTGAACATATACACTACAACTACTGTATTGTACACATTAAATGGGTGAGAGTTCTTTAAAATATCATTATATAATAAAATTATTTTAAAACAATATTCTTTTCTGTTGGCGGAACATGTGCTATAAACTATAAATAGAAAATACACATCTTACCAGAAAGTAAGGCTTGAACTAATACCTAAAATACAAGAAATTTTACTGTTTTGCTGCAGGCTTAGCTAAGTCATTCTGTATTGTCCTCTGCTTGGGTGACCAATGACATATGAGCTCTATTTTACAAAAAAGGAAAAACTAGTGACCTGTACTACTGGAAATAATTTAGTTCATTTGAAGTTCTATTTTAACCCGGGTGAACTAGAAGATTTAAAAAGTCACATTTTATCTGATAAAGCTTAGAAGGCCACCAGTTTCTTTCTCTTCATAATGAGGACTATGGGTAAGATAAGCTGTGTTTCCTTCCAGCTCTGATATTTGAAGGCTCTACTAGGTTTCAAAGTGGGGTACGTCAGTGGCTCAATGCAGGCTTTGAAGTCCATGGACTTGGTTTCTGGTTAGTAGGTGAATGATACAAGCAAGTGAGTTTTTCTTACTTAGTTGTAGTTTTTCTCTTTCATGTTTCCGTGAAAAATCAATGAAAAGCTTTCTGTAAATGCTCAATACAGTAGAGGCTCAATATACAAATCATCACTCTTTGAGGCTTTCTATATTTATGCTATACGCATGGACATGCCCAGGACTGGTCACAGAGAATGAAGCAGAGTTCAAGAAGTTCCCAAGAGAAATCTGGATACTGAAGAGGCTCTGGAGATGAGTAAGGAAGCTTCTAGTCCCATTATTTCTGCATCATGCTTTTGTGTGCAGACGTACCTCACAATTAGCACCAACAACAAAGTGATACAGAAAGTAGTATAGCTAATCTCATGCCGGTCTTTCAAAGATATATTCTACAAGGAGGTTAGAAGGTACCAGCTCAGAGGAAATGAACTAGAAATTTTTCAAGCTCAGGGGACTGTGAACATCTTGAGTGTCCTTTTGACAGTCACCTATTATGGCTATCACACAAATAAGTAAACTTAAAATTATAGAGCCCTCTCTAGTTAGTTGAACGCTGAGATCTTACAGCAAGGCTGAAATCCACCAATGGAGGAATCCACTAGAATTTCCTAGAACTCTTGTCAGAGCCAGTGATTCTTAGGGTTAGTAATGACAGTGGACCTACTATGAGAAGTGTATAATTTAGGAAGATAAGATATGCACATCTGAAAATTTCATATCTAAAACAAACTATGATATTTGAGAGGTCCCTGGCCCAGGGCTTGGGGGCAGACAGACGAGCTCAATTCCTAGTTCCTCCAATCGTGAATCTTTCTGGACTTTTTTAGTCTCCTCAGTAGGAAATAAAGTCAAGCATAAGGACCACAGCCATGTCACATGTCACACTTTTCCATCCTCTGTGATTACTAATTAAGCACGTGGATAAATATACCTCTGGAAAAATGAAAAAGAACTGAAACACTGATAATTCCTTTTATGGTTTATGTCTAGATGTCCCCCCCACAAAGCCTCATGCAGTCATGGGGGCAGGTTTTTCAGAGGTGGTGAATCTGGAGTCAGTGATTGATTCATGGTTCAATACTGGGATTAAGAGTATGAGTGTTACATTCACTCTAGGGCAGGCAGCCTGCATACAGTACAAGGCACGGAAAGAGGCTTGCTCACTCTCTGTCTTTCTCCCTGTCCCTCTAGTTCATTACTTTTCCTATATTCTCCCCCCCTCCGCCCCCCATGAACTTTTCTCCTCTGTGAACACCCTGCGCTGGCCAATTATGAACTGAAAGCACTACAAATTATGAGCTAAATAAACCTTTCCCCCTTTAACTTTAGGTGTCAGGTATTTTGCTTCTGCTGAAGACGCAGCAAGAGAAAATTTAGATAATTCTTACTCTATTTTGGAAAACAATGATTCCCTCACTTTAAGTTAACTCTTAGAGGGGTCCAAAGACATAGAAGCCACATGTATATTCCTACACTTACTTTCTCTCCTTACTTTCCTGGTTCTACACTCTTCCATTCTGTTTTGTGCTTGGTGACCTCGGAGGACTGAAGGGAGACAAAAATGACCCCCAAATCTTGGCTAGCTGGGTAGACAAACAGCATGGAGGCTTCCCCGAGGGAATGGAGGGCATTGGGATGGGCATGAGCACAGTGGGTTATGGTCTATTGCATTAAGGTCTGAGAACTTACTTCAAAAGTCTAATGCACGGTAAGACAAGTAGGCTGAGAGAGCAAAAACAAAAAGAAAAAAGGTATACAGCAGCATTTTTGTGAAGGCAAACAATGAAAGAGCTTCTCAGCCAGTTTCTGGCATTTCAGAAGATGGTGGATCAGTGGTGTGAGACATTAGATCTTAGAGCAAGACACACTCTGCTATGGGCTGGGGATTTAGCTCAGTGGCATCAGCGCCTACCTTGCAAGTGTGCGGTTGTGAGTTTGATCCCTGGTACCGATAAAAAACAAAAAGACACACTGCTATATCTCTGTATCATTAGCCAGCACCCCAACTTGAGGACATGAAGGAGACCAGGGAACT